AATGTAGAAGAAATTGAAGATTTTTACTTATTAAGAAAATTATCCTGAAAGTTAGCAAATTTGTTTTTTCACAGTTTTGTTGGAAACTTTTTACCAATTCTTCTTTGAGATCTTAAGGGCAGTAGTTCCTGTGGAGTTCACTCGGCTTTTGTTTGTGTATGTGGGACCTAATCTAGCTTATTGTCCGAAATTTTGCTCATTGTTTCAGCTTTTAGTCTCTGTTTAAACGGTTTTTGTTTCCTTTTGATTTTGAGTCAGCTACGTGATATTGATAAGGTTATCTTTCAAATGATACCTGTTATTTCTTTATTTGAGTGGCCTTTTGTTGAAACATTTTTATGGCTTTTATATGCTTCATCATAATTCTTATTTCTAGCCTTTTTGTTTGTCAGGTATCTTGGACTTACGTTTCAGCATCACTACTGAAGTACAGCAGACTGCGGATTTTCACAGATTTACCGCTTACTTAAAAATCTATTTTCAATATTTATTATAAAGTTTTGATGCTGTATATGAAATTTTTTTATCAGTTAGTAGTGGCATTTGACAAGCAACGCTTTTCGTTGTCATTGAAGGCTGTTTTAAGCTTCTATTCGTTCTTTTTTTTCAGATTTTTGGGGTTTTCTTGGGGTTTTTCCGTTTTCTCATTTACTTTTTAACTTATATAACTTCTCAAAAACATGTTATTTTTAGGATCTCGAAGAAACTTCCGAACGTTTGACCATCCAAACAAGAGAGCTGAAGGAGGCAATCAAACATAGAGACCTTGCTAAACAAGACTATGATGAAGTTGGTTTTTTCAACTCTTTTTTTTCTAAACCTTTTTTCTTTCATTTTTTTATCCTGGACAACATCTCTTTTAGCTAAATACTGCTCTTCTTGATGAACGTGACAAGTCTAAGAAATTAGAGAAGCAGTTCAAGGAAAAGGAAGCAGAGAGTAGTCAGTTGCGACAAAAGGTCGATGCTTTCAAAGTGGATTTACGGAAGGCAGAATCAGGTATTTTTTTGAGAGGGGGTTTACAAAATAAACTTTATTCCCCGTTGACTCTTTTATGCGTTATCTTTTCTGATGGAGTTTAGCATATTTTTTTCCTACTACCTAATGTGCGTGTTGAAGGACTTGTTAGTTGTTGATTTTACAGTACGGCAAGAAGCAAGTGCTGCTGCAGAACGTTTGCAACAAGATCTTACTAGCGAACGTATGTTGCGCGAAACTTTGCAAACAAAGTTGGCCTCTCAAGATTCCAAGAACGAGAGCGAAGAAGTGTCAAGGTTGAATGCCGAAATTGAAAAATTGAATGCGAGGTACGCTGAAATGATGGAATCAGAAGAGAAGAAAAGAGCCCAAACTGTTGAGTACTGGCAGGTAGAGTTATGATAATTTTTACTTATAGAGTTTTGTAATTTTTTATAAAAAGTATAGCTTTTGAAGCACTGTTTTTTTCGTTGCTTTACAGTTCTTTTATTTTGTTTTAGGCGCAAGTTACCGACCTTCGGAATTCCGTTGATCAGCAACAAGTGGAAATTCAGAAGATGAAGGAACGGCATGAGGAAGAAACTGTAGAATGGCGCACGAAACATGAGGAGCAGATTGCTAATATTGAAGTAGTTATTTTGTTTTCCTGAATTATTTGGAGCTCATTGTCTATGCATTAAAGAAATCTGAATATTTTATTCACTTTAATTTCTTAAAGAGTCTCTATGACCGACGACAGAAAATGCTTGAAGAAGAAAATGTTCGGACCGCAAGAGAGAATGAGGAGCTGCGAAATGAGCTTATGAAGCTTGAAGCGGAACTGTTTGTTGATTTGAGTGCTTTTAAAGAATGTTGTTATTTAATGGCAAAAGCATAACATTTATATTACAGTGGTGTTCGTATGCAAAATGCTTCTCTCAGCAATACTGCTGGCTTGAATGGAAATCAGCTTCAAGAGCTTTTACAGTGGGTTAATGACGAAAAGGACGCTCGAGAATCTCTGCAGGTCATTACTTTTAGCTGAAAAAGTTTTCGCGACATTTTCATCCCTTAGGGGATTAGGGGACCGTTCGCTATTTGCGTTCTTGGTTTTCTTTATTTTTGAATTAGTTTTTTTATTAATTTTTTCTGTTATCTACTAATATACTCAATATGTAACAGATTTGTAAATTTAGAACCTGGCCAGTAGGTTGCATGGAGACGTAGAATCTCTCAAAATGCAACAGTCTTCCAGTGCTAACAGGGGATCATACACTAACGGTAATTTTCTTTTAATATTTTCTGTAAACATTAACAACAAACAGATCTTTAGGACTAATATTTTTACTAATCTTTGGACAACAGTGGTCTTTTCAGGTACACCTTTGTCAGGAACGTCTGAGAGAAGCGGTTGGGGATCTCGTCGTATGAACAAACAAACTAAAATTGAGCTTTTGGAAGCACAACAAGCTTTGCAGTCTGAAATTCGAGCAAAGCAACAATTGATGGAAGAGTTAAAGAACACTCGTTCTGCTTACCTTGCAACGAAGCAAAGACTAGATGAAGCTGAGAATAGAGTTAGTCATTTTTACACTTAGATTCATCTCATTTTTTTCCCACTAATATCTTCAAACTTGCAATTTCTGCCGTTAAACCTGCTGTTTTTTTCTTGAAAAGTAAATTATGAGTTTCGTAATCAAGAAGTTTTAGCTGCTTATGATTAGCAGTTGAAATACCATTTTAGACTTATCGTATTGTATACTGTGTTGTGTTTGTAGGTAACTTCTCAAACTCGTGAAATTGAAAAGCTGTTAGAAGAAAAGGACCAACTTTCTCGATCTTTTGCACAGCATTCGGATTTCACGGACCAGAACAGTTCATTTTTCAATGTCGTTGGAGAACCAAACCTGGACAGAATGCCTGCAAACAGTAATTTTTTTCTTTCTTTTTTTTCCTTGATTTATACATTAGCCTTATGCTAAGTTATGTTTTGTTAAACGTTTCTTACTAACAGTTCGAGGGCTGTCGCATCGTGATAGCTATGGAAGTCAGTTATCTGCGAATGCAAGTGATTACGAAATATCGAACACTTCTTTGCTAAGGCATCAGCAACTTATAAAACAGCAATCGTACAGCAAGTTTGCCCTTAATTTTATTTTTTACTTTGCATGCGAATTGCCATTTTTGCTTTTGCATCTACTGTTGCTCTTTGTGCTTCAGTTGTTAATTATTTTCAACTTTTCCTGTAGATTCTGTCGGAGTCATTTTCAGTGGAGATTGCACAGTGAAGATATCCCAATTTTTTCGTGTTAACTTTACTGCAAAATCGGATGATTTCTTTTGTTTTTGATCCTTATATCTACAGCATGAGTCCTGTTCATACAATGGCTACCTATGAAAATGCTAGACTCCACACCCCAACGCCAAGCACAGCATCTACCTTAGTCATTGGAACTCAAGGAAGGGGAGCAAGCCCTAAGGTTTTTTAATTTTTTGGCCATACATTATAGTAGATTAAATTGAGAATCGTTCTTCTTTAAATACTGTACGATTTTCAGGTGATACAGTCGTTAAACAACGCCTTAAATGGGAAGGGTCACCGTTTTTCTCACATTCACCTTCAAGCTCCCTCAAAGTGTGGTCATTGCACTTCAATCTTAGTTGGACTGGACCGACAAGGTTGTGGGAAGCTGCCACATTTGTTTAATACTTGTTGACTTTATGCTACTACATGCTTTATTTCTTTGTATTAAGCAGCTCTCGGGTTATCGGTTTATGGATTTGTTTTAGGCTTATTTTGTCAAGACTGCCAGTACGCATGTCACGTTAATTGTGCTCCCAAGGTTCCCTCTATTTGTCCGGTTCCCCCAGAAGCACGTCGACCTTTAGGTATAGACCCACAGAAGGGAGTTGGTACGGCATACGAAGGTAATTTTATCTTTATGCGGCCTACGCATTCTTTTTCTTCATCATATTTGATTCTTCATTTTTACTAAAGGTTTGGTCAAAACACCGAAACCAGGTGGCGTCAAAAGGGGCTGGCAGTCGACTTACGTTGTTGTATGTGATTTCAAATTGTATTTGTACGATTGCAACGTGGATAAACACGGAAAGGCTATTGACATACGACCGGTAATTAGACAAGTAAGTTTCGTTTGTCTTTTTAAATAACTCAGTGTGCTTGATCATCTTTAACTTACCGGTCTCGAGTTTCATATTACAATTTTTATCAAGGTTCTGGATATGAGAGATACGGATTTCACTGTGACAGGGGTTACAGAATCTGATGTTATTCATGCTTCAAGAACAGACTTACCAAAAATATTTCGTGTGACAACTAGCCAGATACATGGGACATTGCCAAGTTTGGGCAACAATACCACCAGCTCGACTTCGAGTAGCGGAAGTACTGGATCAGAAGGACCAGTTGCCCGGCAGTACACTCTTCTTATGGCTGATAATAATGAGGTAGTTTGTTGCATCTGGAACCGACACTGGTCCTTGATTTGAAAAACGTTTTGAAATTTTTTTAGAGCATCACTAGTTTATATTGGTCAAATTTCAGGAGAAGACGAAGTGGGTTATAGCGCTTAATGAATTAAAAAGTTTGTTACGGAAATCAAAGTTGCCGGACAAGAGTGCTTTTATGGTGAAAGTATGGCTTTAAGATCTGTTTAGGGCTTTTTCTTTTTCTGAATTTCGTTAAGTCTTTTTTTGTTAATTGAAATTTTATTGTTGTTCTAGGAAGTTTTTGATTCATATACTTTGCGAGAACTCAGGAATGTTCAGTGCGCGGCAATCATAGATAAAACAAGAGTAGTGATGGGTTTTGTTGACCACGGCCTATTTACAGTTGATCTTGATAGAGAGGTCTGTTTTTTTTTCTCTTGTTACAGTTGTGCGAACTTTCTTATGAGGTTTTTTTTTGTTACTGTGAGTGTACTCGTCTCATAATTTTTACGTTGCAGACTCTGACTCCTGTAGGAGGAGAGCGAGAAAACAATAAAAGGACTGTAGAACATGTAGAGTACAATGCAGAAGAACAGGTTTTTTTTTTTTTTTTT